TCTTGATATATGATTATATTCTTTGCCCGCTCCGACAGAACTTTTTCAATTGTCTTTTGAAAAATATGGCTGAATTCTTAACTCGAAATGGAAGACGAGCCCATCTTAGTAAGCCTATCGGGGTATTACATGTAATGACTTCTTTATATTTTTCCTCAATTTCTATTTGGTTATATGTCGATTTCAGGTAAATCTTGGCAAAGTATTTAATTCATGACTTGCCGTTTCTATATTATATAAGGGGAAAGAATTAGAATATATGATGGTTAACTTTATAATCCCCGCATATCCTTAAATCGCCATTGGGTTTTCGTATTGCAACAATTGGTAAAGCCCAACTGCTACCACTTTGGGTAACATTCTCCAATATGCCTTGTTTTACCATTTTCTTTAGTTTTACAACTTCCAAGGGTTATGAATCGGTATTTTTAAATTCAAAATAGATCGGGAGATTATTTATTACAGGAATACTCTCTTTATATCATTTGAATAGTCCCATGTCAGGTTATTCTTGTTACGGTTTTTGGGTATATACTATATAGATATAACTAATGAGCGAGTCAAAATGACTTATTTCCCTTTATAGTCTACCAATAGAAGATTAACCAATCAGGAGCCGCGGAACACTGTATCCGTCGTGTATAAAGGTTATGGCCATCTTTTTTCCTATCGGAATGACCAGAGCCAACTTCTCAGGCGAACATGACAGACGGAAGAACTACGCTCTGCTACTTTGCTGGGATATCCACTGCGAACCTGCATTACGCTTTCCTACTGTCTCCAAAATATTCACTGTCAACCTCTGGATTCTATACTGAAGACAACCGTCATGAAAATGTCTAACAATTCTGACTTAATACAGTTTAATAATTTTGCCGTATCCACTTTTTAAAACCCATTCCCAGGAGTTCATGATTTTTTGTTCATTCTACAGAGATGGGAATAATCGCAAAACGGTTTTTATCTCGAATGTTCCTTCAAAAGAGCCTAGAGTTTCGATGACACCTCCATCAAATTGTTTAAGTTGAGATTACTTTGTCTTAATTTGGGTTTACCCTTTTTTCTGAAATTCCTTCGCTTTCCTGCATGGGAAAATTATAGCATTAAATTTTACTGTTCTTATCGAATATTCTTCTATATGTTTCGTATGCGGGTTTATAGTTTCTCTACTTTTTTCTTTCTTTTTGTATCTGCAAACAGATTGAAATGGTCTTATATTTTACAGTTTAAACATAATTTTCATAGGGCTGGAAATTTATTTTTGTTTCTTTATGTTATACGTACACATTGTTTCTAGAATTATTAAATTCAGTAATTAATTCCAATTACTGCAAGAATTCTACACTTGATTCTAAATATAATTCCCTTTTAGCCTTTCTATGATCTTATGTTTATATATAATGCCATACATGCCTTCAATTTGCCTTAGACGGATCTTTTCGTCTTCTATAGATATTTATCTCGAACCCAGTTTTTCAAAATCGCAATATCTTTATGTTTCTTTCCATCTGTGTATATACTGAATTACAATTTCTCTTGGCTTCGGTCTATTTTCCAGAAATGTTCTTCCATCAACAGCCCTAATTTTTGGTCGCAAGTTTCATCTTATAATGGTTGAAATTTCCTCATATCTTGAGTCTTCCAGTAATTTGGGACACGACATAGATAATATCTTCTTTATGTCTTCACATCCTGCCGAACCCCAAAATATATCAGTAATTTAATTCTCCCCTCCAGAGGCTTTCTGGTCTTTCAGTTTCTTTACCCAAGCCAATGCTGCGAAATATCTAATTCACGTTTCTAAGTGCTCCGGTTCATCTAACTCGGTTAAGAATTCGATCGTGACGCCATATTGTTATGAAGTAGAATAGACATTGTCAGCTCAACAGATTGGCATTCGCTGTGGTGTACTGCTTTCATAGTAGTACTTCATTTGCATACAATAGTCCACTGTATATTCATGTTTTTACATCTATTGGCCTGAACATTTCTCGAATATTTAGGCCGACACATGTAAATAAATACGCTGTTTAATAAAAAAGACATTAAAAACAGAGTATCTTTAAATATAACGTTTAAACAAATATATTAAAAATATTTCATAATGATATGTATATTGTAGATACAAAAGACATTATATAAGCAGTTTTTTCAACTAAATTTATATGTTCCAAGAGATTTCCTCTTGTACACACGGTTGGTCTACCATATCAAGTAATGATTGAACGTTACCAATCTCGTCCTTAGAAAGAACATTTTCGTCGGACTGATGTGTAAAAATAGTTGATAAATATCACTATACGGTATTTAAATTTACTAAATCATTTGGAAATTTGTGGAACCATTGTGCAAACGCTTCCGTCTTGGATCTAATTAATACGACAACGAGGCATAATCTATTTGTTATACAAGCGTCCTGTATATTTTTGATCCCATTCGTGGTAACAACATGACTACCAAAAAGATTTTTTTTTTTTTTATTAATATTGTATTTTTCTACAGATTTTGCTTCTACATACCGTCCCGTGCTTGGTTCGTTTTCCTGGGATCTTTTTCCGATGTTTCAACATTCAATACAAAAAAAACAAAAAAAAAAAGTTGTTTTATTGTCTGCATTTTAAGTGCAACATCAGATTTTCTGCGACATAAACAGGTCCAGAGAGAGCAACCAAAATTATGTCGATACTTCGTGTTGTAATGTGTCTATTACTTGATTGGGTTAAGTCACTCTTCGAGTAATTCCATTTGCAGATTACGACTGTAGTTTGTCAGATGAAATCTAAATACGACTTTTTCTATTTCGGTATTTACCCAAGACTGCACCTCAAAGCGAGATGTGGCAAAAGGCCTTCTTTTTACCATGGAACGATTCCGAACCCGTAGAAACTAGCTAAATTTTTCCTAGACCCTGTATGCACGAGGCGTGTTACTGCTATCTCCCCAGACGAGGCTATGCCAAAAGGTACAGACTCCTCTGGGTTCCTCTTCGTCCGGGGGCAGAGAGGTCGACAAGACGAGATATAACACTTTATTTTCTTGCTATTATTTTTTTCCATTTATTTATCGTCTTTTTAACTCAGTGTTTTATTGCTTTCTATTATCTTCCTATTTTATCGAGTCTGGACCAAACTGGAAAATGCGTAATTCATGCTTATGACCCATCATTTTTACTACATTTTCCTATTTCTAAAAAAAAATCTATGGATAAACACAGACGCGAATATGGAAAATATACAAATCTATATTTTCTTGACTAATAGTAGGTAACTGAATGAATAAATGGCAAAATCAGACGTTACCAATCTCGTTCTTAGAAAGAAATTCAGATAATAATAATGTTTTATTAGCAGTACCAGTGACGCTGGTATCAAAGAAAGATAAATACTCAGAGATGGACGAATTCATTGGAGAAGAATTCCTCGACGAAAGAGAACACACAGAAATATCGAAGGACCAAAAATATTAAAATCTGAAATGAGATCAGCATTGGCCAAATTGAAAAGAAAAAAAACAGCATGATCAGATGGAATTGTAATAGAGATTTTCTGGCAGCCGTGGAGGATTTTGACATTGATAAGATTACAGACACGATAAATAAAATATGGGACAATGTTGATATAATGGAAAACTAAGATCTATTTTCACATTACTCCCTAAGAAGCAAAGGAATGTGAACCATCGGAAAATCTGCCTATTGAGCCAAAATAACAAAACTTATCCGGACTCTGAAGATTTTGACCGGGAATAGACAAGAACAGTGGCAGGTTCGTTACGGCAACTAGGACAAGAAATGCGATATATAGGCTCAGGATGGTACCAGAATAAGAAATACAAATGCTAAAGAATGTATACCTATATTTTATAAATCAATCAAAAGCGTTTATTAAAGTACATCACAAAGAAATGATGGAATTGCTGAGAAACTTGACATATTTGAGAAAAATATCAAAATAATCGAGAACCTATACAGGCTGAAAATTCTTGCAGACGGTTAAAATGAATTCACTACATTTTAAAAGAAGGCACAGTGGAGTAATTGAGGAGCCGGAGGGCGGAGTTCGAATTTGCTTACTTACTTATACCTCTGGGAAAGGTAGGAATCCTCTTCTTCTCTCCCCCCTCATCTATGAATAAATAGCAGGACAGAGCGAGATCTATAGCCTTGATGGTAACTGGTCTACCGCGGAAAGAAATGACAATCTACAGCGGAGAAAAATTCTCTCGTCACATACGGCGCATACCTGACTGAGATTAAAAAAAAAAACACAAATGATTGTAAGACAAGGATATGTCACCGGACCTATGCAGCGTATAAAGCGAGGTAATTTGAGAGAATTAGAAGCACTAATTACTCAAGATTGCAGTTTACGACTGTAGTTTGTCAAATGGCATCTATATATGTCTTTTGCTATCTCGGTATTTACCCAAGACTGCTAATAAAACATTATTATTTATTATTGCTGGCTACATTCTTAAGAAAACAAGATATGCAGATAAAGCTGTTGATAGTAGTCACAGAAAGGAAACTACAACTCAAATAAACGTATGTGATTTTGTTGATTTTTAATATTTCGCTTATATATTTCAGATTTAGAAAGCTGAGAAGATAGCAAAACTAGCTACAAAGCCTCGTACTGGAGAACGGAAAATGTGCTGAGAAAATTGGAGGGAAATTCCTATAAACATGCCATCGCAGAGAGTATGAAAAGAATGAAACACATAGCAAAACTGATATTTACCGATGGATCAAGAAGTTTGAGTCTATAGGAACAGTCAATAACATGAGAAAAAAAGGCTCCAGTGGTCAAAGTTGGCAGAAAACCTACCTACTTCCCTTTAAAACATAGCAGCTGTCAGAGATTCAGTCGGCAGGAGTCCGAAAAATCCTCCCATGAGTAGTGGCAGAGGTGCAACCAGGGTTCAGCGGGGTCACCAGTGGTACTGGCAAGATGTGGTCACCCATCTTACAGGAAATGTCTCATCTGTGGGGATATCTGAAGGATCGAGTATACAGGAACAATCTCCATCGCAGAGCTAAAGTCAGCAATCACTCAAGAAATCAGAGATAGAAAAAAAGAAGCGTGCATCAAAGACATCGACAACTCCACCCGTAGAATTCAAGCGTGTCTTCAACAGAACGGAACATATTTGGAGCATATTCTATAAATGATGATAAAATCTTTGCCAGAAGAGATAGTTACATGTTGTTTATAGCAGTAGATTTGCTAACTTTAGTTTTCAGAAATATATGGTTTGTATATGATTTGTAAACAGGAAATAAATGACGTTCACATTCTTAAGTTACATTTAAACTATACATCGAGAAACTATACGTTTACTCTGAAAGTTGAAGACACACAATTTCGTACAGAATATTTAAATATCGGCATTAGACTACCCATAGATATTGATATGCTGCCAAACAAAATCAGCCAACGAACATTTAGGCTCTCGGAAATCTGCGTGGAAAAGGGGTTTATTTGGATGTTGCAAGTATAGCAATCCTGGATGTAACGTTATTGAAATGTGAGACATTTTATTTGTAGTTCTACGTAAGATTCAGGTAGAAAATTTCAGTTTGAAATTAAAAGGTTAAAACTGTGTTTTTCGTTAGTTTAAATCTTGATATATATATTTCTGGAACGTCTTTGCTTCCGATTAATAATTTTTAAAAAATTTTTGAAAAGGAAACTGAAGATGCATAGTTGCTTAGCATTATATTTCATCTTCTGTAACTCGATGCATAATCTAGCTGACCTTTTTCTGCTTCTTTGTTTACCATTTTAATTTTATCGCTACTTTTTCTAAATATCCTACCTTGTATCCACATTAGTTTTGTCACAAAAGGAATTACGTTGTATGATTCCGGGCAAAAAGTAACGAAACATTTTCTGAAGTTAGTGAAAATTCAGCCTGTGAAAAAAAATGTCAGCAAAAATGAGAAGGTAGAAATTTTGTGAAGACAATATAGAAACGAAATATATTTTCATTAAACAAAAAAATAAAACAATAATTTGGAATCACATTGAATAGGATCATATTTAGGCCTAAAATTTCTAGAACACACATCGTACTTGCTAAAGATACAGATTTTAGATTGATCTTTTAACGTGAGATACACAGGGTTTTTTGAATCCACAATATTGGCAGACTTACACAGATCTCTCTCCAAATTAATATGTTCTGTTTGGACAAACTTATTACATATTATTAAATTTAAATTCTCAGAACCAAAATACGATTTCAATAAATACATCTATATTTATAAATATATTTTTTATTTTTAAATTCAGTTTTAAATTTTCACTTTTTTTTATATATATATATATATATATATATATATATATATATATATATGCACATTTCATTGAATACAACAGACAAGGTACTTTTATTTTTTATACAGTTTCTCATGCGATCTAATAATTTCTAATAATTATATGAAAACTGTCCGAATGTTCTATTTATCCGAGCGCTTTCGGCTATACATTTAGCCATTTTCAAGGATTAAATATTTTTACTGTTAGATAAGAAATAGTTTGTTGTATGTATGTTTTATAAAATGTTTTCATTTTTCAAAACACGGTCAAGATATTGTGTCCATATTCAAAGTTAATATTATTAAGTTTTTTTTTTTATTAAGAAGGCTTCCATTATTGCATGTAGATGATGCTATTATATTACGTGTTGTCAACAAGTATGTTAGAATAGTGTCCGGTAGATCTCCAAGAATATTTAAATCGGATCTAATGGAGTTATGGTCAGAAAGGTGTAGAGTAAGCCTGCACTCGGATAAAAAAGAACATTCGGACAGTTTCGGAATAAGCTTATTCTAACTTACGAAAAATAATTTGTCAGTCTTATTCAACCCCGGTATAAACTGAGTTTGTGTCGAAATTAGAAATTTAAGTTTAAATTTAATGTCATAGTGTTAATATCTGGGTTTAATTTATAAAACCTCTTCCTTTTAAGGCAAATACTTTCCACCCTCCCCTGACCCCTGCCTCGTGCCTTTCGTCTGATTGAAACATTAAAATGGATAAATTCGGTATTAATTTTCGACGTTTTTTTTTGTAGCTTTCACAGTTAAATTTCTAATTCCGACAAGAACCCAGTCTCTCCTGGGGTTGAATAAGACTGACGAATTATTTTTTCGTCCATTAAAATAAGCTTATTTCCCATGAGATGTGATTTTCTATTTTATTGTGTGTACATATATATATATATATATATATATATATATATATATATATATATATATATATATATACAGAGTGTCCATAAAAGTTCGTGTGCGCTTTAAAAAATGTATAACTTTATTTGTATTTGCGATAGCAATAATTTGTAAAAATAGAAAGAAAAAAAATTAGAAAGATGTAAATCTATATTTTGTAAGGTTTTATTGAAATTTTATTTAAGTTTCCACATGTCCTCCCTCATTAGCAATACAAAGGGTATTACGATTTTTCAGTTCACGGAAAACATTTGCCAACTGATTTACAGTAATGCCTGAAACCACATTAGTTATTTTAGCTATACTTAAAACTAGATACATTAAACTTTATAACATTTTTTACAGATTATTTCTATGGCAAAGACAAATAAAGTTACACAGGAACTTTATGGACACCCAGTATACACAAACACACACACTCACAGACACACACACACGCACACACACACACACACACACACATATATATATATATATATATATATATATATATATATATATATATAGGGTGTTCAAAAAGTCACGCGACAATTGGCAGAAAACATACACTTGTGAAATAGCAACCAGGGAAAATTTGCATGACATCATCTTCCATAATTCAACCCATAAAATTTCTTAATAATATATTGTCCTATACAGAAACATGATTCTATTTGGTAAATAAATATAAAATTTACAATCTTATCAACGGTAATACGACTTTTGGAACACTCTGTATATATTAATCGAACTGACCGTAAGCTAGGCAGTAAAGCCATTTGGACAAAACAGGTTACTGCATGTGGAAGAATCAGAAAACATTATAATGGAGCGAGAACAATATAAAAATAAACAAGAAGACAGTAAATATTAATTGACATTGACATTTAAGTTTTTGAAGACCAATATTGGTCCTTGGGCATGGAGCCGGAAGAGAGTTCCACCAAGGAGAATTACGACAAGAGAAAATGTTAGCATAGTACTTACGTTTATATCCAGACAATTGCCGTTTAAATTGATGAGACCTATTTTGACAATGTAGTACTGCACTTAAATTCATAAATTCTGTGTTCCTTAGCGAAGAGCACATCCAAACAATTACGATGAACGTATATATTGAAAAGATACTGAAAAGCAACTTTACGTCGATGGGAATGTGACTGAATCCGAGATGCCAGGTCAGGACCGATAATATTGCTGATTCTCATTATAATATATAATCTCCAAATATATAGCAGGAACAAGGAACTATATATTGTAGCAATATTCTAAGTATGGGCGAATAGTAGCCTTATGGTGAATGGTTACCAGAACGAAACTGAAAATGCCATTGGTCTGTCATAGAGACTCAGGCTTTAAAGTCCTTCTCCTGTTCTGTTTGCCAGCCATAGCTACGGATCCCAGACTACTATTTTCCCATTTTTTTTTAATTCAGAGTAATTCAGAGTATTAGACCTTTTGGCTATAGAACTCTATGTAGCCTGCTATTTACCCACAGCATTTAAAGAATTTATATCTTTTTTCAAGGTTATTAAAACATAAGTGAATGTAATGAACTCGACTGGAATTCGAACTCTTCTCTCTGATTCCTTAATACGAGTCATAATTCATTACTCCAGCATAATTACATGAGAAAATGTATTAGAAAAAATAAAAAAAAGACTATTAGGCGGCAATATAATATCCAATCTACTGTGCAGTAGTGGATCCTGGATAATTGCCTCATAGTGTGTGCACCTCGGCCTGGTGTAATGGTTAGCAAGCTTGTCTTGCTAGGTCAGTTACTACTGAAAAGTGAGTTCGATCCTCACTGGTAGCCCCATGCTTTTGGCCTTGCACCACATCTAAGCTACGCTTTGAAAATATTTGTGGGCACCTCGAGGTGGTGTAATGGTTAGCAAACTTGTCTCGCTAGAACAATTACGACTGAGTTCGATCCTCACTGGGTGCCCCATACTTTCCGCTTTGTGCCACATCTGAGCTACGCTTGGAAAATCACTAATTACCTCATAGTGAAAGACAAAACTAATGTGATATGTTTCTCATACTAATTTAATAACTGATGTAATGGAATAGTCCGGCACCCCCATGAATGATTACACTATAAGTAGTAAGTACCTATAAAGTCAAGCACGTCTGACCTTCCAATTAGTGGCACTCACTATTAGATTGACCTGTGTGTATAACTGTACCGTATTTCATATTATATTTGTTGTGTACAATAAACTTTTCTTCTATTATCCACCGGGTATTACTTATTTATTCTCTTAGCACTGAATATAACAGTTCCGACGAGGATTGTCGGAACATAACAATAACATGCACTGAACATGTGAGCAAAATATAAACTACGATATCAGTTACAATCAGAAATTACACATATGATACAATCGAATCAGGGAGAATCACGTAGGATAATTTTTTTAAAACCTTTGGAAGTCAGAGCAAATACAAATAAAATGGTGGACGGTCAAGAATTACCAAAGGGCATACAGCTAAGCTGTGGAAAGTCATCAACACCCACGTACATCTACATCCTGAAAGAATACAGCCCATAAGATATGAGAAATAATTTCTTAATCTTTACAAATTATTCCAGTTGTGACCTTAATAAGAAAACGTTACAATTTTCAAAAAGACATCCACATATGTTAATATTTAACGAGCCCCCTAGGGATGTATGTGGCACAAGGCCGATTTAGCGTGGGTTCTGCGAGTTCGTAGGCTCAGCCAAAAATATTCCTTTTCAACCTGTATAAACGGGTTCATAACCTGTCTACTTCACCGGACGAGACTTTCCTCTGCGGCAAAGCTTCGCCCGGGTTCCTCTCTGCCGCCAAAGCAGAGAGTTGGACAGCAATGAACGTTTGGTAACAGATCCACATCTGTTAGATGCTCTTAATTTACTGGCCTTGTTAATGAGTTCTTTTTCCACGTAGGGAGTACAGGTTAG